CTGAATTGAGCACTCGCAAATGGTTGACACAAGTGCGTCCTCAGAGGAGCAAGGCCTGCAAACTAACTCTGGGCACTACTGAAGTTTTCCATCCATACAACCAACTCTAATGCTAAATAATAAAGAGCTAGAAGGAAGGCATTCAGGCTGGTCAACACCTTTCTTTTAAAATCTATTTAATGTCAATTATCAAAAATGAGCACTGAGAAATCAATTATAATTCCACTGGGGCTGGGGAGATAGCCCAGCTGTCAAAGCACCTGCCTGGTAAGCAAAATGTCTCAGGTTCAATTCTCAGTAGCACATGCCACACTGGCCCAGCCCTGGGCACAACTCGCCAGCCACCAAAACAGTCACGGTAGGGCACGCCTATAATCCCATCACTAGGGAGGCTGAGACAGGAGGATCACTATGAGTCTGCAGTGCAAAGCAAGATTCTGTACCAAATACATAAATAATAAAAAAATAGATTTTAAAAAATATGTAATTTCTTTGCCTGGAAAGAATCTGCTCAGGCTTTTTTGTCCTATATAAGCAAAAACTTTTTTACCCTAAAAAGAAACTAGATGCTGTTTTATAATATAACCTCTTTCATATTGTACTGTCTGTACACCTAATACAATTTTTGGACTAGGTACACACAGGCTTTTATCTGCTTTAAATATGTCAACTAATTAAATCATCACAACACCACCATGAAGTTGATGTTGTTATTCTGATTTTAAAGATGAGAAAACTAAGGCAGGGGATAAACAGTCCCTGTAAGGTCACATGACTAGCAAGTGGCAGAGGCAGAATTTATATCCAAACCTTCTGGCTCTGGGGGCTGTTCCCATACTCTTATGACCTCCTGGTTAACGAGATCGGCTCTACTGGATGCATAAAATCTATTCCATGGTTTGCTGCTACAAATAAAATTCCAATGAAAGTTCTTGAAGCCAAATGCTTACAGAAACAAAGGTCATAACAAAAGTTCCTGTAAGTGAAATTGTGGCTTAATTCATATTAAAATTTAAGTCATTTGGTAGAGCTAATATTATTTTTTAAGTAGAGGAGCTGTGCCTTTGGGAGAGAGCACATTCACACGTGGAGCAAAGACTAACTGTGAAGCACGTACCACGCTACGATTAGACCATCTGACGATTAAGACTTAGATATCGTACGTCTTGTACGTGGCAGAATCAAGACTCATTCTTTGTTTCTTGTTCTTATACTCAACCTTTGCCCTTGGCTGGACTACTCCTCAGATAAAATTCCAGTATTATTGTATTTCTTCTAGAACATTCTGCTCTACATTTTTTTTTTTCATTTATGTATTTGGTACAGGGCCTCACTATGCAGCTCAGACCAATAGTGATCCTCCTGTTTTCTGCCTCCCCAGTGCTGGGATTACAGGCATGTGTCACCACGCCCAGATTCGGCATGCTTGGGGGCATAGCATGCAGGACAGGGGATGGAACTTTGGTCCCTGAGCTTGCCAAAGCAGGTGCTTAGTCCACTGAGCTATGAAATTTGCTGAATTTACAACCACCTTGTAATATTTTTTGCACCCAATTACAATCCAATACAAAGGTAAACACAAATAGGTACTCATTTGTAAAGCTGTGCCTACAAATAGCAGTCTCTCCCCAGTAGTATATGTGGTTGATACTCTGATAATGACCTATTCTCTAAAATATTCCCTGCTAATAGAACAAAGGAACTCTTGGGGATTGCTATTTTCATGCTGGCTTCAAACACAATTATGCAATCTGCTCATCTCAGATCATTTGGTCTCTAAACACAAGAAAGACAAGAAACCAAGTTAACATTGTTTTATTATGTTCTACACGTGTATTAATTCACACAAACAGTTCTTGCTTATTTCTGACCTACAAAGTAACTTCTCTTAATGGCAAAATGGAAACATCGCAAAACAAGGCCTACCACATTTTAGACACTTACCTATTTATTTATAAATGTAAGAAAAACTGTACATTTAGATATAAATCCAAAGATCAATCACCTGATACAAAATTGACAGCTTTAAGAAGACTTGTTCTTACACACTAAAATCAGATAATTTTCACCTTATACATATGAGGAAAGTACAGTACAACATGTGAAAGCTAAAGCACTGAAATCAGAAGAATTTCAAAAGGAAAATGAATATAAGTCTAAATAAGCCCCTAGGTTTCAGGAAAAAAAATGGAAAAACAAAATATAGAGTCCAATCTGAATTTTACATACACACTTAATTGAAGATTTTCCCAGTGCCCACAGGGCTGGAGGAGGAGCAGCGCCTGCCTCATGAATGCCTTGTTTTTCTCCAAGACCAGTTCAGGCCCATCCTGAATGCCTCATACTCAGCATCAGCCAGCCTTTTCCTGATCTCGCACTCCAAATAAGGGGAGGCAGTGAGCAGGAGGTGGCTGGTTTTTCGCCCAAGTCCGAGGACAGCCAGCTGAGAAAGGCAGGCCAAGGCAGGGCCAGGCCAACAGCGCATGAGGCAAGAAAACCACCACCCTCCGCACCCCTGACACCCCTTCTGGCTTCACTCCTTGCCCTGCAGCCCCTGGGTCTGCATGCTGCTCCTTGACTGTCCAAACACCCATCTTACAAAAGGACAATATGATCTCCTGGGCTCGTCCTCTCATGTTCTAAAATGATAACTCAACCACTTTCTTTCAAGCATTTTAAATTCCTGTTCTCTGAACTTTAAAATTCCTTGTAGCAAAATTAATGAAAAACTAATTCACATCGCAGGGGTTCTGAACATCTGGCGTATTTGCCACCTACGTGAATCACTGCTGGGGATCTTGTGACAATGTTCTGTTGCTGGTATTTTTTTTTTTAAATCTTTTATTTATTTATTTGCTACAGGGTCTCGCTATGCAGTTCAGACTTGTAGTGATCTTCCTGTTTCAGCCTCCCCAGCTCTGGGATCACAGGCATGCGCCACTATACCCAGTTTTGTTGGGCGGCACAGTACAGGGGCTGGCATGGCATGCGGTACCAAGGATTGAACCTGGGTCCTTCATGCTTGCCAGGCAGGCGCTTAGACCGCCGAGCTATCTTCCCAGCACTTTTATCTTTTTTTTTTTTTAATCTTTTTTGTGACAATGTTGACAGAGAGATGAAGAGGCCAAGAAGGCTGGCTTTCCTTGAATCCTACAGCACCACTTTAAAACAGGGCATGAGTTGACAGAAAGGGCGTGCGGCAGTTGCCACTTCTGATTACAGCACCTCGTATGCAGGGTCAGCCGTGGACTCTGGTCTACGGCAGTCACTCCCTACTCAGTGTTGTACTACAGTTTGCCTCTCCGCCCCATTTTGGCTCTTTAAAAAAAAATCACAGGTAGGAGAGAAAAGATGGCAATAGAGGATTTAATTTCAGCAGGCATAAGGCTCTTTCTTTTAAGTGTTTAGTACTAACTCCTAAGAAAAACACCTCATCCTATTCATCAGCAAGCAAAAATTTAGCGCTCAGCAAGCAAGGAGCCCCAAGTGTGATTCATATTTCCCAGTTTGCTTCTAATCTGTGGCGCAGAAACACGCAAAGACAGCAAAGCCAAGCTATGGACTCATCTGGTTCCCTAGTTCTTTTGCACTTACAGCAAAAGAGTAAGTGAGACATGAACAACTTTCTGGTAAGTTCAGTTATGACTCAGTGCCTAAGAGCAAGGCACAAGGAGCTTTGTCTTCCTAAGCCCTGGATTTCCACTATAGGACAAACTACATCCAGGTTCACTTTAAATCTCTGACATTTTCCTCTTTGTTTTCATTTCATTTCAAACATTGCATTGATGAATAATTTTACACAGTAGTAATTTTACAGCTATACAATAAGGTTACATACACATTCACTTCCAATACTGTTCTTACAAAAACTTTGCTTTCAAAATCAAATGAAGAATTTGATGGTGGGGTTGGCAGTTAAGGCGAATACCAAGCCCTCAGAGCTGAAAAAAAAATTATTTAATTTTGTCTGAATATTTTGTTTCCTAAAACTGTCTTCAAATAGTGATGCATAATATTTCTTACCTATATTACAACTGACCACGATGTTTGTGTATCATAAGGAGACACTGGCATAGCTAAGCTAATTTTGGACTAGTATTTACTCAACATACTAGGAAAATATCTGCAAAGAAAGAAAGATTCTATTATTGCCCCTAATTCCAGTACCTGGGATGCAATCTGCTAGTTGTATAACATTCTGACTTACTGTAAAAGATAAGCAAAAAAAATTAAAACACAAATTTGTAAGTTGCATAATACTAAATTTAGAAAAATATATTTTATGTACCGATGCTCCCCTACTTATGATGGGGTGACAGCCCTTAAAATAATCACAAATTTAAAATGTTCAGTAATTGAAGAAACATTTAATAAAATTTACCTACTGAGCAACATAGTTCAGCCACACAGGACCCTTTGGGGTATAAATTGTTTCCCCTCAGGATTCTGTGGTTGACTGGGAGCTGAAGCTCTGCGGCTCTGAAAGAGAATCTGATCCTGCACATCACTAGCCCAAGAAAAGACCCAAATCCAGAGTTCATATGTATTACTTTCATCCATTTGTAAAAACGAAATGTTGTAAGTCAACCCAATGGTTAAGTCAGGGGCCGTCTGCCTACAAGCTGTAACTGAATTTCGCAATATCATTTTGGAAACCTCTAGAATGACTTGCAAAGACAAGCCTACTTCTGCCAGCCGTGACATTATCTCTTTGTGCATGTCTCCGCTAATGTAAGAAATTTGGGTTCCAAGTTATTCAAAAAGTCAAGTCCATCTTCTTCCTGCTTTTCACTGCAGCAGCCAACAGAGCCAGCTGGGGATCCTTTTCCTTCATAGCTGTACGTGAGAACGTAGTCTCGCGAAGGTACATGTTCTTCATTGTGGTTACATACGTGCAACTTCTGTGAAGACACGTGTAAGAAAGGATTGAATTGTTGTTTTAAACAACTTCAACATATGAACATAAAATTTATTTTTTATTTACCTTTTATGTTTAATTTTTAACCAGTGTGTCCTCTAATGGATTCCTACACACAGAAAATGCACATGATTGGTCTGTATCACAACCATATCGTACAGTCAGTCTATGTTCAACTTCTAATAATCTACACAAAGAAAACCTTATGTATACAAGGGTTATTTGTTACATACAGTTATGAAATACTTACCTTTCAATTTTAGAGCCAGAGGTCAGGCTCTTTCACTGCACAGTAGTTGGCGTTTGAGCTCAGATGTCATACACCCCTTGGTTTGTGACAAAATTGTGGCTCTACCACCCAGATCGATGAATTTGGGCAAATTTTTAAGCATCTCTAAATCTATTTCTCCTCTAATCGAAAATGAGAATACCGACGGTAACCATCTCCAGGTGTTATTTTATTTTAGAAATTATTTATGATATAATAACACATAAAAAATAAATCTACTAGATGTACAAAAATGGGAACAAAAATCATTACAATATACAAATGTAAAGTAGGAAATAATCACTGCCTTGGCTTCAGACTCAAGTTTATAAGGTAGCCAAAACAAAACAAAAAATGGTATGTGCATGAAAAAACAAACCACTGAAGTAAAAACTAAGCAAAATAAGCCACAGTGCAAAATCTGAGTTTGTGTATGAAGAGCCCAGGCATTCAGGGTATCAGACGTCTTGGCTCTCTGTCACTGTCTTCTTTACCAGCGAGTCACGCTTCCGTGTCTCCTCCTTCGCCTCCTTCCTATGCTGCTTCCTCTAAGCCAGAGCCCATCTGCTCTGCTTCCCTTACCCAGAGCCTGTCTTCGTGCGCCCCTAACACCTCACCAGGCCCATGCCAGTGTCAGCTGTGCACACTGGACAGCCCTCCTAGGGCAATGTCCTACCGTGAGCTCCTTGACAACCTGATCTCACATGATTGCTGACTGCTCAAAAACAGAAAAAGGATTAACACTTGAAGGTGGCCAAAAAAATGCTACGGACATATGACAACTGACAGCCCTATCACAGAATTGGGCCCACTGGCCATCCACCCAAGGATTGAGGTTCACTGGCCCCATAGTATTTGCTACATTTGCATGCTATCTCTGATAAAGCGGTGAAAAGTTTACCAGCAAGGATATTCAATTTAGTGGCTTTTTTTTTTTTTCTCATGCAGTACCAGGGACCAAACTCAAAACCTCACACTTGCCAAGCAGGCACGTACATCGCTGAGCTCTATCCCCAGCCCTCATCCAGTGGCTTTTTGATCCTAAATACACTTTTGAATCACCTGAAACATTTTAGAAAAAAGCCAAATCAAATAAATTAAACTCTTTAAGGGGAAGACATTAGGTTGTTTTAGAATCTTCCTAAGAATTTTATTTTTGATTATGTATCTAGGACAGGGTCTATAGGGTACAGGGTCTACAGGGTCTCACTATGTAGATCGTACTCAGAGTGATTCTCCTATTTTTCAGCCTCCCAAGCGCTGAGATTACAGCCATGCACCACCATGCCCAGTCTCAATCTCTGCCTCAGCGCACCCCACAGGGAAGGGTGGCACTGCACAGCGGGGACTGAACCCTGGCTGCTGCACTCTGGCTAAGCAGGTGCTTTAGTCCACTGAGCTATTTGGCCAGCCCCTGGCTATTTGAATGTTAAAAATATTTTATGTAATGATGACTTTAATTAATTTTTGTATATTCCAAAATTGCTGAGCGAATTTCACATGTTCCCGTCCCCAAATGCTTTGAACTTAATAATTCTACATCATATATGTACACTACAACATCACTTACCATTCCTCATGTGAGTAAATAAATACAATTAGAACTTGCCAATTTGGTTAAAAAACAAACAAATGAAAAATAAATATTTCACAAAGGTCATGTTAATCTTTATCTTAAAATCGCATGGAGATGGTTGTGTTTTCACAGCAAAAAAAAAAAAAATTTGGCTTGGAAAATTTATGATAAGGATAAACTAAATTTTTTCCACATTTTTCTATATGAAAAGCCTGCATGGGGTAAAGGTGCAACAAAAAGTAAAACCACAACGATGGACATTGGAAACCTCCACTTTTATGCAGTTTTAGAAACTAAAGCAATATGACACAGGATGTTAAATTATTTTATATTGAATAAAGTAATAAAATGAATGAAAGTGACTGAGGAAGAGAGGAAACTTGGAACAATATGGAAAAACAACCTCTGAAGATGTACAGTAATTTCAATTTCCTGTTGCTCCCCAGTAAAACATTTAAAATTTAGAATTAAAACATCTAATGACACTCACTTCACCAAGTCGGGGCTGGGTGAAATTGTGCCACTCGGAGTACGTGTACCGAGAGTTCTCCGTCTCCACGTGTCCGCCCCTGCAGGGGTCCAGGGTGTGGTGGTGCCCGGCACAGCGGTAGGAATCCAAGGTCTGCTGCCCTCCCTTCACCATTTCTATGGTCTCCTGCCCGCCGTTTCTGATTCCCGAGCCCATTGTGCCACCAAACCGCTGGCTACAGTTGTTGGCAGTCTGGGCGGTGAAGCCATTGGCGGAACACTGCAACACAGCACAAGTCAAATCAATACAATACAACACAACACAACACAACACAACACAACACAATGATGTTCATGCTGGGAAAATGGATTTCAAATAAAGTCACAAGGCAAACAACAGAGATCATTTATTCAGTCTTCTACTCCTGCCTCACCTGTTGAGCAGCCATTTATCAGCTTGTGACTATGCACCCAGATGCAAACCTTAGGGATGCAGAGATAGGCACCGCGGCTCTAAGAAGCTCTCCTTCCAGCAAGGCAGAGACACAGGATTCTTTTATAAATGTAACTGCTCTGAGGGCACAGAAGCAGAGCAGTGAAACTCAAACCCAGAAAGGAGATGTGGAGTAGGCCAGAAAACCCAGAGGGAGTGAGACCAGTGGGAGTGGGAGGAAAAAGCACAGAGCTCGAAGCAGGGTCTGTGTGCAAAGGTGACTGGGTTACATCATGGCCCCAAACTTGAGGATGGCCACTAACGGACCTTCATACAGAGAGGGAGGGAAAGAGAGAGGGAGGGAGGAAGGAGGGAGGGGAAAAAGAGAGAGGAAGGAGAAAGGAGAGAAAGGAGGGAGGGGAAAGAGAGAGAGAAAGGAGAAAGGAGAGAAAGGAAGAGAAAGCTGGAGAGGTTATAAGAGGTGAGAGCACAAAATAGATCCCTTTCTTGTTTCTTTGTTTTTTTGTTTTATTTTTGTACATAGTCTCACTATGTAGCCCAGACTTGAAGTGATCCTCCTGTCACAGCCTTGCCAGCGCTGGGATTACAGGCATGTACCACCATGCCGGGTTTCGGTGGCCAGCTCAGCATGTGGCTGACAAGGCATGTGGTACCAGGAATCGAACCCGGGTCATCTCTCCAGCTCACACATATTTTATAATCAAGGTTATGCAAATTCAAGAATTTTAACTTACTATGGAGAGAGGCATATTTTTGGAAATTTTCATTTTAGCCATTAATGTGGAAAATAAACTAAATGGAGACAAATTGATATAATAGAGATCAAATAAGATTGCCAAATTTTTCCTGGTCGAAAATGAGCCTAGGGGGAGGTCATAACAACTGTGAGTGGGCTCCCTGGAGCACCTGACAGCAGAAAGGCTCAGTCAGGGATGAGCCTCCACGTTCTAGGTGGGGAGTTAGCTAAACAGTACACCTTAGTAAATGAGAAGGAAACCTGTGCCTGTAGGCGAGAGGAGGAGGGAGCCTCTGCAGTAAGGACGAAGGCTTGTGTGATGTCCTACACAGACACATGAGCACGTGCACTTGGAGCACAGGCAGAGATCTGAGCTGGAGACGGGACTCCGGCACCCCTGACAGTTACAGCCACAGAAACAGATGGGCTACCCGGAGAAAAATCGCAGACCAAAAGAAAAAAGAGCTAAGGACAGAAAAAGATCCATGCTTCAAGGCACAGACAAGAAAAATGCAAGAAATCCAATCCCTCTCTCCAAGACATGGACAGCGAAGGGAAGTTACTAAAAACCAAGTATAAGCTTTTCTTCCCCACCGTTTAGTTTTAAAGAGAAAAGAAATACGCTGAAGGATCTAGAGATGGAGAGTCAAGGAAACACTTCCAAATGAAAAGGAATTGATTAAATATTAACTCAACACTAGCTGCTCACTGCAACCATCCGGGCCCTGGAGGTCAGAGTCTAGCTACAGCGATAAGAGTCGCTCTGTTCTAAGAATAAACCACTGTGCTGCTAACACCGAGAACCCATCTTATTACCAGAAAAGCACTGTGCTCTCAATGTAATTTTTCTGGAATATTTTCAAATTCAGATAATTTGCTGAACCCAAAAAAATCTATCTGCAAAAATTCATACAAACTAGCTAGCTCATTGCTTAAGAAAAAAAAAAAAATTCAGAAGAGAGAATCAAAAAGTAGCCATTTGGTGGCAGTGCTACCCTATATTTACTTAGATGGCTGGTCCAGTGAAATCCTACTAACAAAAAAGAAAAAGATCACATTTCTGATACTGCTCATTACTGAATGTCTTTGATAGCACTAGCTTGTCATAGCATATATATATATAATCTAGATATATATAGGTATATATATAGATATATAGATAGATATATATAGATAAATAGATATATCCAGAGACTTATGTCTAAACAAAGGAAAAGAAAATTAAAAGTAAACTAATACGGATGGTGCTGAGCCTGCCATGTAGCTGCCCTCACCACGCGTCTGCAGGGCTTCCCATGTACCTCACGGGGCCAGCAATTTTCCAGGTCCATTTTGTCAGGTCTCACTTTACTCAGCTCCTAATCTCATCTGAATGTCTTCAACTGAACACCGAACAGAAATGACAGCCAACACCTTTCCTCACTGCATTTTTAGTCTCTATGCAATTTTTTTATAGTTTGTAAAAATTTACCTAAAGGTATTTTTTGGTATAAATCAGTATTTCCAAGCAAAAGAGACAAGTAAATACGAAGTGACCAATAACTGCACCAGCTCTAACTTCAACTGGAAAGAACGAATATCAAAGTAGAGTTCATTCATTTCATTTTCAAATATAGAGTAAGAACTTCCTATAGGTCAGGGGCTATCAAAGGACTAAACTCAATTTTTTTTTTTTTTTTTTTTTGATACAGAGTTTTTTTTTTTTTTTTTTTTGATACAGAGTCTCACTATGCAGGACTCACTATGACAGGACTCATAGTGATCCTCCTGTCTCAGCCTCCCCAGTGCTGGGATTACAGGCGTGTGCCACCACACCCAGTTCCAGGGTCAGTACGACATGTGATACAGGGGATCAACTCAGGACCTTGCACTTGCCAGGCTGACGCTTATGCCGCTGAGCTATTTCTCCTGCCCTAAACTCACTTTATGACATATTTTCTTTTTTATGACATATTTTCTGATTCTAGAAATAATCATAAGATTCCAGATGATAACATAACAAACACAGATAGCTATTATCTTTTCCTACAATGGTAGGAAAGAGAAGAGACAAACTGTAAGTGATAAGAGCCTCTTTGCTCTGAGATACAGAAAAAGACAGATAAGTCATCTTTTTCCCTGGCCTCTGCTACTTGGATCATACTTTTTCCTCTGTTCCTCAAGCTCTGTCGACAATTACCATTTATATCTTTAAAAGTATTTATTATCTGTCCTGTTTTTACATGGCGGTTACATCACAAAGGGCTACCACATGTTTAAACTCTGGAAAATGCCAAGACATTACCTTTCCCATCCTTCACGCCCGTCTCACCAACCCTCTTCT